CCGCCCTGACCCTTCCAGTCGCCTCGCCCCGTTTTTCGGTACCCGCCGGGTTTTTCCCTGCTCCCCGCGGAACGGTGCCTTAAAACTGCTCTGAAAATGAAGTTCCTGCCTTGCTTTTTCAACAAGGCGTGCCCTTAGCTTGCTTCGGAGGTTCGGCCGAATCTGCGTGCTCACGGTGATGCCCTCCTGCTGCTCAAATTTCTTTGTGTTAGCGTATGTACCTCCCACCTGCTGTGCCAGCAGGGCTTCTCGCTCCGTGCACCCTTAAAAAGTTATCGCTGGTGGTGCGGATTTTTATATATAGAAGTTAAGGCAAGGCATCATGTTTCGTTACTGCCTTTCATTAAATCCCCTTAACGACAGCAGAATTAATAGACTAAATGTCTTTTAACTTTTCTGTCTTTCCGTATGTTCCTTTGAACTCTTCTGGGTGTCTGAAGTTTAGATGCCTGGCTGTTCCTCATTAAAGGCTTAATCGATGGTGGTATTTTTACTGCCAAGTGTGGAAATAAATTGTCGGACCGAAAAGATGCTGGCTGCTGCTGTAGCAAAGCACGGGAATAACCTCCCATTTTTCATTCTAGTGATGTGAGGGATGTTATAGGGTTTTAGTTGTGTTCAGGTATGTCCCAGTAAGTACAAATAATAAGTTATATCCTTGTATCCCTTATCATGGGAAGGGTAATTTAGCTGGCTAGTAGGTTTCATACCGAGTGTTGACACAGAGCAAGAAGAGGTGGACTATTGTAAGCTGAGAGTCGTTCATTTTTTATGAAATGAACGAATAAGGTCTATTTCTTATCTCAGCTTCAAAATGAAGTGTAGGAATGCCTCAGTCGTTTCTGTAGCTGTCTCTTATAGCCTCTCTCCTCTCCACTGAAAACATTCAGTAAGAGTAAATACCCTTAGTCACTCTCAGAGTTTCTGTGTTTATTGTCTACTGCTTGCTGCCAATGTTTTGGGGTTTTTTTTTTTGCATTTTCTAGATAAAAACCTCGTAGTAATTTTGACTTCTTGATTAGCACCTAAAAGTTAGGAAAAAATACGTACTAGTTCTGGGTTTCTTCCCTCTTTGGGTGTAGATTGAGTGTTTGGCTCTTGCTCTCCCTTGTTAGGACTGTAGCAGGGAGATAAAAGGATAATCTCACAAACCTTATGTTTTTGTTATCCAGAGTTAAGCATAAAATAAACATGTGTTTAAAATGCAACTTGAAATCCTGAGTAGAAATGGAAGACTCTGAACTCTCCTCAACCCTACTGTCCTTAGTTAAGATGCACATTTTAATTGGCTGTATTTTTTGCTATCCATATAACTGAAGTCTAAATAGTGAAATGTTTCCCTCTGCTTGAATTGTCAGTTATAAAGGTATATGTAACTGGGTGGATTGCTCTTGAATGCAGTGCTAGATTTTTCAATAAAGGAGTACGCTTAAAGGGAGTACTGATGTCAGTACTATGTACTGAGTAAGGTTTATCACACAGCAGAATACGATAGTTGTCTCATCTTTGGAAATGTTCTAGGACAAAAGCCTAGAAAACTGCCGATAAACAAGGGCCTGATTTGTGTTTTCAAGTGAATTCTCAGACAGTGCTAAAGATGGAGGAAATTATCTGATAGAACGATGCTCTTCTAGAGTACTACTTTAACTGATAATTAAAACTACAAGAGCAAATGATAACCAGTGCGGTACATACAAAAAGAACTCTACTTTTCCCTAAATTGTAAATGCTAAGCCCCTTTAGAAGTAGTAATAGACAAAGAATAAGTCCAAAAATCTGTTTAAGAAAATACTGAAGTAACTTTCAGTTATTCTTCATTTGGCAGTTTTCAAACAATTTTAGTTTTCTGTAGCTAGCTTTTCACTGGTGATGCTTATGGAGTCTGAATCACTGAAAAGATGAGCTGTACTGTAGTCTGCTTTGGGCATGGAAAAGATGTCTGGTCAGTATGTGATGGCGAAGTTGTTGTTGTGGACAGTGGTTTTATTTTTTTCTTGTGGTTTAACCCCAGCTGGCAACTAAGCCCCATGCAGTCATTTGCTCACTCCATCCTGGTGGGGTGGGGAAAAGAATCAGAAAATAAAAGTGAGAAAACTTGTGGGTTGAGATAAAGACAATTTAATAGGTAAGGCAAAACCACACATGCAAACAAAGCAAAACAAATTCATTCACTACTTCTCATGGGCAGGCAGGTGTTCAGCCATCTCCAGGAAAGCAGGGCTCCATCATGCATAAGGGTCACTTGGGAAGACAAATGCCATCACCCTGAATGTCCTCCCCTTCCTTCTTCTTCCCCCAGCTTTATATGCTGAGCACGATGTGATGTGGTGTGGAATATCCCTTTGGTCAGTTGGGGTCAGCTGTCCCAGCTGTGTGCCCTCCTAGCTGCTTGTGCACGCCCAGCCTACTCGCTGGTGGGGTGGGGTGAGGAGCAGCAATGGCCTTGACGCTGTGTAAGCACTGCTCAGTGATAACAAAAACGTCCCTGCACTATGAACACTGTTTTCAGCACGAATCCAAAACATAGCTTCATACTAGCTACTGTGAAGAAAATTAATTCTATTCCAGCCAAAACCAACACATTTTCTTAAAATATTATTATTTTGACAGTAGTGACCACGAGCAGTTTTCTTAAACAGAACTGGCCTCAGCTGCTGTATAGAACGATTGTTTATCGACAATGAAGGCACATTAGTAGTCTCCCCTTCCAAAATAGTCAAATGAGCTTTCATAGTATAGGATGTACTTATTATTAAACATAACAATAAAAATAAAATCTAGGACCTTGGGAAGTTGCTGAATGAAAATCTCATCACCTGTCTTTGAAGAGGGAAGTTTCTTTCCCTCACAAAGTATCATTACACTTGAGGATTTTCCTTAGCTGGCAAGCAGGGACCAGGCCAGAAACTGTGCTGCTGTTTTGCTCTTGCTCTTCTTCCAGGGTGCGTTTTCACAGACAGCCTTCAGCAACTACAAGTGTGCACAGTTGTCAAAAGAGGTTGTGCCCTGTCTCCAACCAACAACCCTTTCCTACCTCAGAGGAGCCCCTAGATCAAAGTAGGGAAAACTGATTTCTTGGAGGCTAAGGAGTCTGGAAGGTGTGCGAGTGTTAGTTGTTGCCGAAGAGAAGCAGCGGGTTTACATCAGTTTAAGTTGATGGGGAGCTCTACTCTTAAACCGTTTAAGGTGAGACTGGGATCTTTTTGGATTCAGAACCTCTGTTCTGACTTTCAAGATTGTGAACCTTTGTGTTACTGCGTATTGCTGTGTTATATCTTTGTATGCGTGTGTCTCTGCCCAGCATTGAGCATCGTTTTAGTGGGGTGTTGCTTTAGGCTTTCCAGGCATGGACCAAGGGCTCAGTGATATGTAGGTCCCTGCTACTCTCTCCTCCGCTTTTATAAGAGTTACTCCCTTTGGGGGTGTGCAAAGAATTTTGTGGACAAAGATGATCATAGGCTGAGCCAAATAGTCTTGGAGATGTGTATTGAAAACACAACTGAGCTGTATTTTGGACATAATGGTAAGGTTTTCCTGGTGAGGAAGTTGGGTAAAATTGTGCCTCTCTGGAAGAAAGGTGAGAAATTAAGTAGGAGTGGAATTGAAACTCTTTAGTTTTCACATGACTTGCAATATTCTTTTTTTAAAAATTATTATTATTTTCATCAATATGCTTTTGATGGAAGGACGTTAACTATTCTTTTCTCTCTTTCTTCCTTTTAGCTTGGTTTTACTCTTGGCAACGTGGTTGGGATGTATCTGGCTCAGAACTATGATGTGAGTATCCTTGTATTCTCAGAGCTGAACCTCTTCTGAACTGAAAATATAAAGCTGTTTTCCCTGAATTGGAATTGAATCAGTCTTTATTTTGATGTTTTATTGTATTTGAACAGAATACAGATTGTACTGACTTTAGTTACAGATGAACTGGAAACAAACTATCCCTTTGACATCTTGTCTGTGATAGAGCAATGCTTAGAGCCTTAACTGATGTTGGGGCCCTAGAGCACAGATGTAGTAACCAGACTTCTATATAGATAGACACGGAATAAACAGGAAAGGTTTAGCAGCTGCTCACGGGTTGTACCAGCATTAAAATACTGGTTTCCTGACTCTGATGGCCTGCCTGCTTACAGTGTTCTTCATTCAGTACACCTGCTGTTCCTTAAAAATCCTTCAGAGCATCTGAAATTTCGGTCTCCTGTACCAGTAATGAAAATAAGCTTTGCCAGCTTTTTTTTTAAAATTCAGCACCTGGTCCTACTTCGAACAGTATATCCACCTGCAATCTTTCTTCTCTCACAGTGAGGAAAGAAAGAAAGTGAACTTTCCTTCCTCAGTTCTCACTGTGAGCAGAGACTTTTTACTGTGAGAGTTAGAGTAGGAGAAGAAATTTTAGAGCCGAGTCTTCGGTACAAGCTTTTAGCTTCTGCAGAGTCAGCAGAATCCCTTGTAAGAGCACTGCCACTTATTTGTGTACAGGCTAGAGGAGTTAATAAAATTTAACAGATTTTTTTTTCCTTTCTTATGCAATGTGTATTAGCCTAGTTTAAAAAAAAAAGTTGTTGAGGCTTAAATCTCTGACATTTATGTTTTGCTTTTCTCTCATCTTCAGTATTGAAGTCATCTTGCCAGCAGAATTCTTATTTTTTGTCCCTTGCTTAGCGCAGTCTTTTGTGATGCTTCCTGTCCTGTCACTCTAGTAAGAGTGCTAATAAAAGGCTGGTGTTTCTTTCCAATATATGTTTTACAGTGTTATGAAAATGTATTCATAAGAAAATATTTGGGTATATCAATATGCATTGTAAACATATTGTAGTGCTTTTCTGGCAGCACTGATAAAGTATTACCACAAGAGGGGGACTTACGCTTTTGATTTGCAAGTAGTTCCCTGGGAATGTAATGCTGACTTGCAGTATGAACATAGTAATTTTATTGCTACTGTTGAAGATGATTTGCTTTAGATGACATCTAAGATAAACTCATTATAATCAGGTCCTAATTCTGCAGCTCTGCACGCATGTGCTTAGTTACAAGTGCATGGAGGGTTCCACTGACAGCAGTGGGTTTCTCTCTGTTTAGCTTAAATGTCAGGCGTGTTACGGGCTGGGCTCTTAATTTTGTTTGCTCAACAGAGCTTAAATTTGAAAGGGAAAGTAAGAGAGAAACTTACGATATTACCTGTAGTATCAGCCTCAAACCATCCAAGGAGAGCACTGCAGTCTGTTTGGATTAACTTCTGGGCTATGGTCAGGTTGCATAGGAAGTAAAAGCCCATGATCTTTTCCACAACTGCTAGTAGGAGCTTTGCTTTACTTTCATTTAATCAATTAGGTTGTGAAATCCTTTGTTGTCGATTCCCAGTTTTAGCTAGAGTCATGAGATAATCTATTCCTTGTCCTTAAAAGTTGCTGCTTTTTTAAAAAAAAAAGTTGTCAAAATTTACTGTTGGGTTGCTTTATCAAAATGCTTTTATTTGCAAGAGAAAACTGAAGTTTTGAAGTTCACAAGCGGTAAATTGAATTTTCATTCAAGTGTGAAACTGCAAAAGGTCGACAATTTGCAAATCAGTAGAATTCCCCAATGGCAAATTTTGGTTCCCACAAAATGGACCAGAAGTATTTCTTGATAAATTTCTTGAGAACATACTTGCTGCTCTTGAATATCTCTTTTCTCTTGTGACCGGTATAGCGCAATCTGATTTCCAGTCCAAAAGTAATTATTAAAGTCTGTGCGTCAGTGTTTAAATCGGCTTATTCTTTGGCAGTTTGTCCTCTTTCAGTGAGGAAGCCAGACTGGTCTTACTAAATTTCCTATGAAGTGATCTCTTTTCTTCCCTCCCATTCCCATCACCACTGGCTGACTTTTAATCTTAACAATGTAAAATATTTCCTGAAGTCCCATGTGAGGTGCTTTCATTTGCTGTTTGCTTTGTTTTTAACCTTTGTGCAAGGTAACAGATTTTTGGAAGCAAGTGGCTTTTAGAAACCAATTTAAAATTCATAGAATTTCTTACTGTGTTTGTGGTATTGTCTTT